TAACTGGCATTTAAGACCCGCTAATGAGGCCTCATATAGAGCAAGTGTGAGGATTGTGAGATGAGAATATAGTTAGATTGGCTGACATTTTAGATCTTGCTCTCGCTTCTTGAAGATGATTCAGACGAGCAGATTGAACATTTCCGAGTCCACTAAGACGCGTTGATCTTCATTCTACCCGTTCCAAGGCTAAGCGCTCAAGGGTGTTATGTGGTATATTGACTGCTGCAAGTAATATATATATATATATATATATATATATATATATATATATATATATATATATATATATATGTGTGTGTGTGTGTGTGTATATTTATTTGTGTGTCGTATATATAAAGTAGAGTGAATACGCTTGTGTTTGTGCATTTGTGTGTCCACGCAACTCCTCCTCTACCACTGGTCTGATTTCAATGATTCATAGCTCATTCAAAATCCTTATAAAAGTTAGGCGCATAGAACGATTGTCGCTGAGGTCAGATTCTGGGTTTCCAGATGATGCAAGGTTAAAAATATATATTAATTTTATACGAGCCATTATCGTGGTTTTCATCATTCAAGGGGACTAACATTTATTTTTCTTTTTGTATCCAAAACTGCAGTGCACGTTTTATTGTAAACTAGCTTAAAAGCTGCCCAATCGGGTGACATTTAAGCTGTGGAAGATTCTTTGTTTGGCTATCGTCATAATAACTAGGGATGAGTAGATGCGGTAGGCATCTATTAACTACAGAAGAACTCAGAATTGGTCGCTGCATTTCAGTATTAATTTAATGTTTAAGCTTAACTTTTAACAGAACAACGATAATTCTTCTGCTGCCACTTAATTTAAGGACGATTTGATGCACGTAGATCCTTATTTTCCGTACAACAATTATGGGTAACATAACAGGAGATAATTTATAAGACAATATTAACAGTGTGAAGACTGGAAAAAAGAATTTAGAATTACTTATACATTCAACATTTGAAGAGTTACAGAAACATAATAGCTAATTAAGTAAAACCTATATTATGGAATCTATATGAATAATTGCGAAATTGGAGCCCAATTCTTCCATGAATTCTGAGATTAAAAACCCAGCTCAACTTTATAGTAGTTCGGTATTTAATTGACCACCCCCGCACCTCCACGAAGTAGCGTTGTGACACAGGGTCGTTTTAAAGTGAGGAGCCCGAGCGCGTACATCCGAGATGGGAACAAAATTACCCAAGCCACCGCAAACATCAGATGCGCTGATCTCGGTGCTCGCACAGATCCCTCACTCTAATGTAATGAGAGGGCAGGGCCTCGGGCAGCTGTTCACCGGGCCTGGGTACTTCTCAGTATAATTTTCCTCAAATGCGATTCTGTCCTTCGACGCAGCCGTTCTTGAGTGCACTCTACACAAATACGGAGAATCAACTAAGAGATGATAAATTTCGTGTTACAAACTACTCGAGGAAGTAATTTGTATTTACTCAACCCCACCCCACGAAGTCAGGTTGTAAAAGTTTGAAGTAAAATGAAGAGAGGGGTTGATTTACTTGACTCCCCACTAATTCAGGTTGTGACACAACGTCAGTTTTAAACGTGTCTTCACTCGGGCCGTTAGTCTTAGCTGGTCATAGCTTGTCCAAGCTCGTCAGAGCTGGTCTAAGCTAGTCATAGCGGGTCTTAGCTAGCCAGAGCTGGTCCAAGCTAGTCATAGCGGGTCTTAGCTAGCCAGAGCTAGTCCAAGCTAGTCATAGCGGGTCTTAGCTAGTCAGAGCTGATCCAAGCTAGTCATATCAGGTCTTAGCTAGTCAGTGCTGGTCCACGCTAGTCATAGCGGGTCTTAGCTAGTCAGAGCTGGTCCACGCTAGTCATAGCGGGTCTTAGCTAGTCAGAGCTGGTCCAAGCTAGTCATAGCGGGTCTTAGCTAGTCAGAGCTGGTCCAAGCTAGTCATAGCTGTGATACTACTAATGCAGTGGCGGAACCCTGTGACCGGCAAGTATCAGAATTTGTATACAACCGAGATTTCACTTGATTTACTTGATACCCACCTGAATCTGAAGGTCGGTTTTTAACGTGGACACCCTAGTGTCATCACTTGGGCCATTAGACTTAGCTGGACATAGTTTGTCCAGGCTGGTCAAAGCAAGTATTAGCTGGTCTTAGATGGTTCAAGCTAGTCATTGCTGTGTTGCACCCAGCACAGGGACGAATCCTTGTGAACAGTAAGTATCAGAATGTGTATACCATTCAAGAGAGGGGAATTTACACACTGTATTTACGTGTCCCTCTCCCCACTGAGTCACGTTGTGACACAAGACCGGTTTTTAACGTGGGGACCCGAGTGTTTTCAATCGGGCCGCTGGTCTTAGCTCGTCCTAGCTTGTCCAAGCTGGTCTAAGCTAGTTGTAGCTGGTCTTATATGGTCCAAGCCGGTCCAAGATAGCCATAGGTGTGATACTACCAGCGCAGGTACGGACTTTTGTGACTGGTAAGTACCAGAATATGTATACCACTCGGGAGAGAGAAATTTACACACTGTATTTTCTTTGTACTTACTGGACAACTACTGAGTCAGGTTGTAATACAAAGTCGGTTTTTAACGTGGGGACTCGAGTATCTTCACCCGGGCCGCGGTTCTAAGCTGGTTATAGCTTGTCCAAACTGGTCAAAGCTAGTCCAATCTTGTGATAGATGGTCTTATCTAGTTATAGCTGGGCAGAGCTGGTCCAAGATAGTCATAAATGTGATACTGCAAGCGCTGGGATGGATCGCTGTGACCGCCAAGTATCAGGATGTGTATACCACTGTGTATTTTCTGTCTCCCCACTAAGATGAGTTATGACACAAGGTCATTTGTTAAGGCGGGCAATAAGATGCGACCTCAGGCAGCTGTTCCATAATTCTGGGTACCTTTCATTATATTTTTTCTCAATCTTCAGCAAGTTGGCATGTATTTGTAAAACTTTCTTTAGCTAAAACAAGCCAATTTATGATTGAAATGTTCATTTAAAATTTTTGTTTCAAAGATTTCAAGTAGTGAATATATCCTTTCCGAAGCGATACCGAGCGGGCGATGTCTGCTAGTATATATATATATATATATATATATATATATATATATATATATATATATATAACAATAAAAAATATTAAAAAATTAAAATCTTTAGACACACTGGGTTGTAGATTAATATTCTTTCGTTTTTTTTTATTATTATTTCATTTAGACTCCTCGACTAGTTTCGACCAAAATGGCCATCATCGGGAGGAGAAATATTTCTGCTTGCTGGTAGCAATAAACTACAGAAATCAATCTTTTGCTGGAGAAAATGAACTTTTGTCTGTAGTTTTCACTTGTTTTTTTTAATTTTTTTAATCTTTTTAACATGAATCTTTTAACAATCCTTGTGTTGGTCAAACAGTCTCTATTAAGTTGTTATTTGAGATACGAGCTGGATAGATACATGTTGCTCTGAATTCTCTGGTCAGTTTGACAGTTTTTTTGAACCTGGTGAGGGGATATGTCTCTGTTTAGTGTTTGTGTGTTCTTTGGTTTTTAGGGAGTGAGTCAGTATGATATGTGTAAGCGTGTGTATTGCTGTAGGCGTGTGTTATCATTTGGCTCATTAGGGAGGGAGTGAGTATGATGTGTGTAAGTGTGTATATTCGTGTGTGTGTGTGTGTATAAGTCTATAAGTATGAGGCCTCCACACCTCCGTAAGCATGTCTGTCTTGTGTGGGTGAGAAATGTGGATAGGTTTTGATTTGTTGACTTATATATTGGTACTATCTGTATTGTTAAATTTATGTTTATGGTATATATATATATATATATATATATATATATATATATATATATATATATATATATATGTATATACGATTAACAGTGTGACACTTGCCTATGACAAACCTTTTCATAAAAGTTGTTAATTATTGGAATATAGTTAAATATTCATAAAATACTAGAACTTAACATCAACAATCAACAGAAGTTGTTTATATTTCATAAGTAAACATTAATCAGGCAAACGCAGGGAATCTCCAAATCGTCAACCAAAATACAAGAAAATTATCAATTGAGAAGCGGCTTAATATAGTTTTGTAGCGTCAGATAAGAAAAAAGAACATGCATAGAGAAAGAAGAAACTAAAGATAAAATAGTGGGAAGAAAAAAAGAGAAAGGGTTTAACTTTTCTGAAGAACAAACGAGAGAGAGAGAAAAGAATATTTAAGTGTAGTCGAAAAGAGATTAAGAGAAACGAAAGAAAAATTCATGAAGAGTGAAACATCACAAAAGAAAGGAATAGATCGTAAGAAGTTTAAAGAGACACAAACCTACACAAACCTGGTTAGAATATCACTTTGATACATATTAACTTGGCATCACTAAGTGTTCAAGAAATAGAGTATATATGATGTACCTATTGGTATTCAGGTTTCTCGAACAAACTGTCTGGTTTTCATAGATTAAGTGTGAGATTATATGCATGGCCTGATGCATTTTAATGCTAAAAACAAGAGGCAAATCTTATGAATCACTTGACCTAGTACAATAAAAGGCTTGATTTAACAGAGACATCCATGCAAGCAAATTGTGTTCAAAACTCTTTAAATGTCTCGAAGGGGATATTATCTTTTGTATGCTTCCATTTACTCGACATACTGCCTTTATGTCAGATGTTATATTCGCAACATTTTGATCGCCTTACTTTCCGACCTTCTTCTGGATACTATAAACATCTCGGAATTTCGAGGATTAGATTAAAGAATCTACTTATTACGTGGCAGGTAAGGTACAGTGAATGTGGACTAACAAGCATTCTTTTTTTTTTACTAAAGTTCAATGAATAGACGACTCATTAGCCTCTCAAGTTAGATATTTACTGAAAGTGTTTTGTGAGATGAATATAAAATTAGGCGGTAAAGTAAAGAATAAGAAATATAGACATCGATTAAATCTTTAAGTAGAGAGATTATCATTTGGAAACAGTGATTGTCGGGAGCAAGACACGCGATATCATGCCCGAAAACGCCTACGCATTGCATGTGTATGGTGTCACAGATCAATTAAAAGAAAAGAAAATTAACGGTGTGCGCCTACGCATACGTAAAACTCTCGCACTCAACCCATCGGCTGCTTCGTGATGGTCTATATAATGAGTTTGTCTGAAGGCTTTGTCAATGGAGGCCGAGGGAGCCAACGAGGATGACGAGAGACGACTGCCCTGTGCGAGAGACGACTGCCCTGTGCGAGAGACGACTGCCCTGTGCGAGAGACGACTGCCCTGTTCCACCGTGTCCTTTTTGTCATGACGGCTACAGAAACATTTTAAAGCGAGTAGGTTCTTCAAACTAGCGCTTCTTGGGAAAAATACATGTCCGAGTAGAAATTCCACCCTACAGTTGGAATACCGAGTAATTTAATGTAATCCAAATTTGTGGTCGTTATGTATGAAATGGTGGCTCGGAAATATGAAGCTCGTCTGAACATTTGCCTTGGAAATAGCGATAGTGTAACCGATAGGACTGTGATGCGGTGTCTGTTTTGAAGAGGCTGCAGAGTTGAATACACATCACTCTATACAAGAACGCGTAAACGATTCTGAATTCTTTCATTGATGAAAAGTAACGATTGAGCAGCCCCATGACTGGCAGATATTTTCTGGAGTATAGCGTTTGGCATTGCATTAACATTCTTTCATATTAAAGCTGGCTGTAAATCATGGAACCAGAAGTGATTTCCACAAATGAAAGGAGCAAGAAAATAAATTATTAACCTAGAAATTATGGCTACATCTTGCTAGTTCAACAAGGAATCAACACTTGAATCTTCTTTCATAGTTTATCAAGGAAAACATTTGCATCTAGTCACCTTTTTATCGTGAGTCCAGCGCCTCATTCAAGCAAGGAATATTATATTCCTTGAACAAAAGAAAACCAAGGTACATTTTCTGCATCAACCATGGAAAACGGAAAAATAGATTCGGTAGGGAATAAAAGACAATCCGATGGAAAAGAGAAAGAAAATTAGGATAAAAATCTTACAATACCAACGGATATAATAGTGTAACACCTTGATTTATAAACTTTATAATCTTAAAGTGAAATGGTATTTTGGGGCTCTAAGACTCCCGGAACACATATACACACATTGCTTTCATTTTCAATTAGTTATAACTGTTCTATTCAAAATATCACATCAGTAAATTTCTTTTTCGTATCATCCATTTCATTCGGATTGCACGGCCATTGTTCACTTTTATCAAAACCTAGTTTTCTTATTTCAAAATTTCGTCTATATGAAAACTCTTTTGGCCAATGACGTTTGATAAATGCACACCATATAGTTTGAATATTGAAAGTGGCGAAAAAGATTTCCATTGGAAAATAGAAACATCTTTCTCCAGTAATTGAAATATTCATAAAGTCAGTTATATTTGGCTTCTTAGAACGATAAAAAATAACAAAACTCGACTAACATCTACTAAATAATGGAAAACAAGTTTAGCGGCGGAACACGCTGAATATTGTTGCCACATCTGCCCTGTTGCTTCTGCTATGAATTTATAAATTCTTGAACAGATGCAAAGAGGATTCTGCATTTTTATTGGTCTTGACATGGCATCTCGCCTCCAGTCATTTTCTATGAATACTTCCGTAGTAATTGTTCTGATTAACTTTCCTAGTCTTTTCATTGATGTTTTATATTTTAAGTTGTCATTTTTACACCACCTTACCCCACCTACACACTGACAAATTGTATAAATGGGAATTAGTTAGGATTTCATAGAGACAATGAGGTATTATGTTGACTGTAGTAAGGATGGCAAGTAATAATATGTCGTTTTAGCGTAAGGATACTGTGGTATGTGTTGGACAGTAATTGTGGGTTGCTAAGTTTAAGATAAAACAGAATGAATTCAAACATTTTGCTATTCCCCATTTTTAACCTTTTGGCACATTTTTGTGTTTTCAAAATAAATATTACTTTCCTAGAGTTTATGAATTTAAGCACATTACTAGATTTGCAAAAATGCCTCATCATTTTAGAGTTGAAACGGCTAGTTCTAACAGTTTCGTCTATCGCACTTCACGCTTGTGGAATGCTATTTCTACTACTTGCTTCTCAATCAACTTTGATCTTCAAAAATTTAAATACAGTGCCAATCGTTATCTTCTGTCTTCTTAATTCTGGACTGTTAATTGTTTTTTCTCCTTAAAACTGATCCTTTCTCTCTCATATTCTCTCACATTCAAAACAGCCTTCCGTCTTATTTCCTTCCTTGGGGATAACTGAAAAAAATAATAATCATTAAGAGTAATATAAGATGACATTAATTATGAATCGTATGGCTTTAATTGTATCCATTGATAAAAATGCACACAGTCGTTTGTTTTTCATTTCCTCTCATAATGATGATGAGAGAAAGTAGAAACATTTATTAAACGCATGTTTCGACGGAAAACCGAATGTTTTGTTTGGATTCCCCAGTTTAGTCAAAACTCTGGGAGAAAAAAATAGTAGGTGATAATCTAGCGTAATTAATTAATTTAGCGTAATTATGAGACTCATGGTCTCATAAATTGCCATGGAATCTATTACCAGAGATCCCATGGCAATTTCCCCACAAAATTTTGTCTCTATTTCATTTTAAACAGATGAAGCCACAGAGAACATAAGCTTATCCGAAGAAACGCGTCTTTAATCAATTTTGCACTTATTTCCTCGTCTGAACTTTTGTTTTTCATAATATTTTTCATCCTAAAAACATACATTTCCTTATATGAAATGTCTCTCATTTTCAAGTGAATCAATGAAATTTTTTACACTTTTTCAATAAAACCAATCCATTGTATCAGGAACTTATATAAGTTGCTCATCTAAAATAGTTAACAATTTTACAGTCCAGTTTATGGAAGTGTTTTAGAATTAAATGTACATTTGTGCGGAAAAAAAGAGGGTGTCCCTAAAACGAGAGACATAGGCAAAAATGTATATTTACAAGTAATTGTCAACCATATTTTATTAAATTGGAATATTAACAAATAATGACTTCAATATGATTTCCATAATTTGTGATGCAAATTTGATGCATATTGCCTGATTCACGTGAGTTCGATTCAATCATTACACATTGCCGTCAATTTAGCCAATCCACTCTTTATCGGTTCAATCAAGTGTGTTGCATCTGTGATTTTCATTGAGTACCCATTCTCCTTTAGCATAACCCAGAAAAAAAGTCAAATCTTTCTTCTTTCGACAAAAACATGTTTAATCTGTGGAGATAAAAAATATATATCGTCAATGAAATTTCTTATGTGTAAGGACTTTAGGGATACCGTGTAGAATGACAGATATAGTCGATTCGAGCCCGGTCAGTACCTATGGGAGTGACCGATTGGGAATACCATGTTCTATAAGCTTTTTATATGCGGATGGTGTAAGGGTTAGTATCTTGGAATTGAAGATCGGATTGACGAAGTCCGATTGCAATTACGTTATATTAATTTACGCTCAAATATCATTGGGAAAGTTATGAATACAACTCTTCTCCGCAACTATGGGTTAAATAGTAGAACATGTATCAGTAAATCATTATTATCTCCAAAATATTCTTACAATCTAAAAATATTTTCTGGCTTTAAATAACCTGCGAAAAATGAATAAAGACAAATCATTCAACCAAAACCTTATAAGTGTGTGTCCCCTTTCGTTTCACTTGGTAAATATACAAAAGTACAAATATACAAACGCAACGAGACATAAATAGATGTTTTAAAACAACTCCAACAGATGTTCAACTTTTAAATTTAATTTTGCTGACTTGTGATCTAAAAATTGTTGAAGCTTGTGATTTTCCCTAAGTAAAACACGTTTTCTCAGTTAACAATATATTCCTTGTTTGACAATGACCAACTCAATGAACGTAAGTTATAATACATTAACATCAGAAAATCTAAGATACTTTCTTATGCTTTCCTCATGACACTTACCCCAATAGATCGTTTGATAACAAAGCACACTAACCCGAATCCTGCTAATATTTCAAATGTTTAGATTAGTAGATAAATGTAGGAAATTCTCTGAGTGCATGGACACGAGAAATGCCAAATAGATACGAGATTTGGCGAGAAATATCCAACGAAAATATTAGCGATAAACTAAATGAAATCGACTTTACTGTTTTCTTGGTAATCTTGTTATGCAAAGTAAAATCAAACCTTTACTCTTTTTATTGGATTTATGATTACTTAATTTTACATTTAAAAATGCAGCATCGGATGTAAATTCAATTTCCGTTGTATTTCTGTTAGCATCAAATAGCAACTTTT